GCGGGTGTGGGAAGAGAGAGGAAAATAACTAGTTCTAGTCCCAGAAAGTCAGATGGGAGTGCTTCTCTACAAAGGCTGTCTCCAACTACGGACAAATTTCCTCTGTCCTCAGAGTACTATGACCATTGCATACTCTGAGAATTTTAATAGGGGAGTGATTGAAGAATTAATTTTTCATCTTGTCAGTGTTGCTTGTTGGTTTTAGAAGTTTTGGGGTATTACTTTTTTTTTTTGGTACATTTTTTGGTATGAGATCCATGAGGTCTTGGGATTACAATACTACACATTTCCTCTCTGTTTTGTAGTTGGTCTGTTTTGTGACCGTGAAGTGCAATAACAGGCATTAAACAATGTCTGGAACCTGTTTTCCCAGCTTGAGAAGTCCCAGTTGTTCATTGCAATGATTTAAGCCATGGATGCAGTGGTCATACAGGTGGGAGTTTCTCACTAAGCCTTTTCGCATAACCACAACATCTGTGAAAACATCTCAAAACATTTCTCGTGATCCAATTCCAAAGACAGGCATGAACTGACAGAAGGGAACTCTCTGTGAAAGATGTACCCGAATTATATTTCCTATGCCAAGACGTTAATTTTTGTCTTTGAGCCATACAGCTGCAAATGTTAGCAAAATAGGCAAAGCAGTGCAAGCATACTGGAGGAACCTCTCTCTCTGATCAGTGAAATCTTGAGGCTAAACTTAGGGTATGATTCCAGTGAGGCAGGACACAGTAAAGTCAAAAAGAAGAACAGGAAAAAGTTACAACCTCCCCCCAGGTAAACGCCTTTATGATATCAACAGATGCAATCTTCCAGACTTCCTGCTTCCTAATAATAAATTACTTTTAAATTAAGTCAAAATTATGAGAGAAAAAACATCAAGTAAAGACCGATATTTATACTTGTTCTCTGTCCATTTCCAGGTCTACTTTTTACTTCACCTGACCTTTATTTTTTAATATACCCTGCAACAGATGTATTGTCTCCTAATCAAGATCCTCCCCAGTTACAGTATTCATAAACTCAGTCAACTTTCTTTAGAAAATATTCTTGCTTCTCAGCTTGAGACTGTACATCCAGCTCCTCAAACACATTGAATCACAAGTGATTCAAAATTGTTCTTTTCTGTTAAATGCAGATATTCTTGTGTAAAGAACCCAGACAACTGGTCTTAACTGGTACATGTTGTAATGGACTCTGGTAGGACTTTTCACGTGATTGAGGACTAGTTACATGAATAATGGATGTATAAAGACATTGAGACCTGTATATTAGACTGGTTCCCACTGAAGTCAGAATTACAAACAGGTACTATACATGTTCCCAGCAATTCATCTTTGTGCTTGTACAAAGAGGAGACAGACAACAAAGCCTCACCTTAGCATCTGCTGGGATATTAACTAATGGAGTCATCAGTTACAGAATATTTTCTTAGAATTAATTTAAAAGATTTTCTATGCACCTTCCCTGCTAGGTAACACAAAGACTTTTGAAGACCATTCTATTGTCTTTGAGATAACTTAGTCAAACGGCTGTCAAGAAAACAATTGAGATATTTACCTTTCCATCTTATTAATGAGACTTGATATCTGGGTTGCTGCTGCATTTATAAGAGCAGAGGCTTGAGAATCCGTTAACTGTATCTTACTTATAAGATATTTTCTGTAAGCAAATCTTCTATTCAGATGATATTTCTTGCTAGCTTGCAAAAAATCCATTAGCTCTTCAATGTCTCCCTACAGGAAAGAATGTGAAGAAATATATTTAATTAGATGTAATGTTAATTTCAGCCAACACCTATGGGTATCAGACCAGATTTGTTCGTTAAGAGGGCAAAGTTAAAAAGCTCTTACAAGTGAAAACCAATAAGCTCATATCAACTTAACTCTAATGATCACATCAAATTATTACTGTTATTTCAACAAAACAAAACAAATAACGTGCTAAGCTTTTGGCCTGAATACTTCAATGTTGTGTATACTCTCCTGAATAGTTCATGCACCTCCCAAGAGCCATCAGTTAACAGGTCATATGATTGGGTACCCACAATTAAATACACATGCAGTGTTAGTAGAACTTAAAGCTTTCCACAGGCTGAAAGGTCATCTTGAACTGGGACCTGAAGACAGCACACGTTCAGTAACAGCAGTAAGTGGCATCATGTCCTCCTTCTTGGTTTTTTTTTTCCTCCTTTCTTTTTTCTTTATAATGTATTGTATGATTAAATAAAGGGTAACATTTTCAAAGGTGTCTAAATTGGCTTCAAAGCCACGAATAAATCTTCCACACATGTCCAGTACAGCATGGGGAAAGCCAAGACTGCTGCACACAGGCTGGCTTAGAAGTTCCTCCTTCCAACAGTGGGGAACAGGAAGGGTTTAGGTACCTACAAATGGATCTGGCAGAGACCAGAGGTAGGCACACAATGCTCTATAGCAGACATTCTGCTAGCATCAGATAACCAAGACAAGATCTGATATTTAGGTAGCCCGTGTCTGAGTGGCCAAAACTTCTTTCACTTGCTCTATCTTCTGCTGGCTGCTCAACTGTCTTTTGCATAAGCGTTTGCTATGTCTACATCTGACAGTGGCCCATGTGCAGCTTTTCTGTACTGACATCTGACAGTGCCATCTAGTTTTAGGAGTAGACCTTACATGTTTTGACACCTACTTCCCAGATGTTGTTTTTTAACCTCCAGGCCCTCAACCTCTAGGACCACTAAAATCATACTCTTCTTCAAGAAGCAGCCAGAAAAAAATTTCCAATTTTTTTGTAATCTAGAACACTAACTTTCAACATAAATGGAGTTAAAAAAAAAAAACCTTGAAGAAACAACTCAAGCTATTCTGTTGCAAGAGGCTTAAAATGTAACTGAAACCAAAAGTAAAGTCCTGAGCATACTCTTCATCAGCATCCCTGACTGCATAAGCTAGAGATACTCAGCTCCGCAAAGTACAAAATCATAGCACTTCAGCCATACCACAGTTTCAATAATCTACATTCTTGGATTGGGGGCTCAGTACATCTTCTGCAGTATAGAAAAGCACTTGATGCCTAGGGGGTTTTGAAAATGCCTGTACAGACAGGCCTGCAAAAGTACTTATCATTCATTAGACAGCATCTGATCTGTTTTAGAAAATACCATTCACAAAATAGATGTAGGTACCTAGATGTTTTTGTAGTTGCCCAAGTCCCTTTATTTGGTCTGAAATTACTTTTGAAAATGGCACTCTTGGCATTTCTGTACCACGCTGAGGGCCCCATTAACACCAGTGAGGGTAGACCTGGGACCAGAAGTGTGCTGCATGAGCACAAATCTGCTCTTAGACCATCCTATTGGGGAGGGTTTAGGGGCAGAGCTGCACCAACAAAGCTTTCAGGAGCTAAGTAGAGCCCCAAGATGTGCAGATATATCAAAATATTCACTGCAAACCCAGGGATTTATATTACACAATTTTCCACTGCATGGTGTAGACATGTTTTCAAACTTCTTTCTTCTGCACAATACAGGTGAGCTACTAGTCTTATTTTCCCTGAGCAGTAAAGACAAGCTTTAAGCACTTGTGTGCTTTGGAATTATTACCCATGAAAACAAAAGTCAGCAGTAAGGACATAATGTTGTGGCAAATAAATCTAACGCACTATCGTAGAAACAGGCTGTAAGTAAGCATTGATGTACAGTTGAGTCGATATCTAGATGTGCACGATGATGACATTATACTTCTTAAAATTCTTCCTAAGAAAATTAGTTATAAAAATGATAACATTTATCCTGAAACATTTCTCAAAAGTTACTGTAGATTTGTATTCTGTCATTAGGTTAGGAATAGAGTTATCATCTTATTACCTGTATTTTAGAGTAATCTTCCACTAACGTTTTAGCTGCTTCCAACTTCAGTTCTCCCTTGAAAGTAGCATTTATTATTTGTGTAAAAAAGATATTATGGAGCTCCTTTCTCTGGGTAACAGCCAGCTGTCTATAAGCTTTTGCAAAATATTCCTCCTGCTTTACCAGAAGGAACCTCTTCAGGCGGTCCTGCTCCAATCTGTGAAGTCTATCCAGGAGCCTTCTGTATTCTACAGCAGGCTCCAGAGAAGAAATAAATAAATAATTCTGAAGTTATTTTCAGTATTCAACATATTTTAAAGTATCAGTGCTACTAGCTTATACATATTTTACGCATACTCTGATTTCTGTTTCAGGTTTGAATGAAGGCTAATACTAAATCAGTGTCAACTTTCCATGGTTTTCACCTGTTTGGAATGACAGGGGTCGTACAGCTGTCAACCTCTAATTCAGATAACACTTCCAAGACACAATGAAGTTTATTTAGAAGAATTATTTAAAATAAATTATACAAACCGGCATGAAATTCAACACAAAGACTATATATGAAATTAATTTCTTAGGTTTCATCAATCCTGAAGTCCTATTAAAATTGAATAAACTCATGTAAGTCAGAACAAGGAAATAACAATAAGCATATATTTTAAAAACAATATAAATTAGAAAAAACTATTCTACTACAAATCTCTAAAAGTTCTTATTATTTGTGACCTACTTTATATGCTATATTCTACAATTTAATCCAAGAGCATTGTTTTATAGTTACAATAATGGAGTAGAATTAAATGGCAATTAATTTAAAAGCTTCTTTGCAAGAAATACTTTCTCTTAGTTCTCCATTAAGACTTACATATTCATAGTTTTAGTCTCAGATGGCATAAACTCATTATAGAATCAAAACCGTACATGTCCCACAGAGCAAATAATGCTTCTTATGCCAGCAGAACTACCTAGCAGTAGGTATGTTGGTCTTGCTCTACATTTCATGCTATTTATCTGGGGAGAACTGTCCTCTGCACCTCACCCCTTGTTCCCAAGAGACACACTGCAGACAAAAATACTTAATCAAAAAGGCAGGGGATATACATTCGTGTCTTGGCTGAGAAGGAGAGGAGGTTATTGCTCCAGCTGTTTTGCACTGCCGTCTCTTGGACGTCAGTACACCCACTGGCAGGAGCACAAGTGTGGGCCATCTCTAGCACTCCAGCACGTCCTTTTGGACCAGGTTCCATGGCAAGTACAAACCCAGGTCCTTTTGCAGACAGGAAAGTGAACAGCAAGACATTAGCATATGATAAACGGATCAGGACAAGTATTGGATTGGCCTTAATTCTTTGTTTGATTCCTACCATTCAGGATTTCCAATATAAACCAGACTGAACCAACAACAATGTATTTTGTGCAAAGAAAAGCCACTTTGCTGAGAGCACATTTGGTGTGAGTTCACATACTGAGTTTCAGTCAGGCCCCTCCCTCTGCAAAGGTAGGATTTATCTCAGCGCAGTCTATCCAAGTGTTGGTTATAGAAGGAGCCTAGACTAAATATCTAACAGAAGGAAAAGGGCTACTGCAGAGTACAATTCACCTCACCCTTGAAATGATGTCCACAAGTATCCCTTCCTTGTCATCTCCTTTGACTTTTTAGCACCTATAGTTCAGGATGTTCATATCCTACAGATATTTGAAAGCTCCATAGAGCCACAGTTTAAAATTCACCTGGAAACCTCAAAGAAATTCAACCAGCTTACTAGCCTCGTGCCATCAACTTTCTCCACACAACAGCCCAATAAAACAAAGTTCTTCCTGAGAGCCTCAACATACTGAAGTACCTTTGATGGGTCACGCTCAGCAAAAAACTTCTTTTGTCAAAACTACAAACATGAATTGTCATAGATGTCCTTAACAATTATAGGTATATGATATGCCAATAAAAATGCTTTTAAAAAAACCAACCAACACAAAACAAAACAGAAGGCAAAAAACTTAAGAACTGTCTACAAAGACAGCATACATAAGTAAGGAATAATATACCAGTCTAAGAGACTGTGCTCCTTAACATAACCTAGTTTGTCTCTATAATCAAACTGGAACAGACAGCTTGAAACTCAGCAGCATCACATTCAACACCCACTTGTCCACTTGTGCTCCAGAAGCAAAGCCCCATTTGTAACTGCACTATTTATGCCCACCAAGTCATGCTCTTAATGTGAGCTATAACATTAGACAAGCATGAAATATTAACTTGGGTATTTCAGCATTTTAAGCTTACAGAGGTGAAATATTCAAAACTTCACAGAATCCTCTCCAGACACATGAAGTGGGGAGGAAAAAAAAGAAAAGTTGGGGGTGGGGAGAAGGGATTTGTTTTATTGTAAACATTCAATTTACTTGAAAAAAAGACATAGAAGACTGGAGCATAATTTTGTAGATGGGATGTTGGACTGGTGACCCAGCCTCTATTTGCAGCTAGTGACTACCTACAAAATCCTGGGTAATGATAGTTACCCATTTGGACGGAGATCTTTGAATGAAACTGACACACACAAGCACTAAGTTTTTACTTAAAGGGAGACTCTAAACTTGTAAAGAATCACACTCTGCCTTAAATTATTTATCTCACTATTATCCAGGGGCTACTTCCAAGAGAAGTCCACTCCCTGCTCTGCCTAAAACATAGATTGTTCTGCTTGCCTTCACTCGGTCTGGAGGTAATCAGCTTTTGGTTGCGCTTATATTCTCATTTTCTTCATAATAATAATATAAATATTGGAGGCTTTTACCTAGATTGTAAGGTCTATGATGCAAAGTTTGTTCTTCTCTGAAGGTGAAAAATACTTTAGTGTGTCTGACTGGAGTTCTTAGGAATTGCTGCTGTAAAATATGGTAAATAAAAACACACCACTTTGCAAGGTTTAAGTGATTCTAAAATAATTCTAAAATAACCCCAAACTGGTTAATGATGACCTTTTGTTTTCAGGTGTCACAGATTCTTGAGATAAATTTATTTTCTGGTGAAGTAAACCAGTTTCTTAATAACAGCTACCCTAATTATGTAATCTGAATTTTTTAACACATTTAAATGGTACAGCTTTTCTCTTTACTCTTCTAAGAGGACAACTCAGCCATTCCAGTCTAAAAGAGAAACCACTTATGTAAGGCCACATATCATGCAAAATATCTTGATTTTATACCAGATTTACCTTTTCATTCATTTTCTTCATTAATTCCTCAGCCTCTTCATTTGCAGCTCTCGCTTTTTGGCACTGAGCCTCCATTTTCTTCCTAGTTTCCAGATTACATTCAGCTGTTAACGCCACCATCTTCCTTTCATACTCCTCTTGAATCTCTTTCTCCATTGCAAGAAGCTGCTTTTTGAAAACTGAACTCATCCTCTTCTCCACGTGAGGAAAGAGGCTGTGACTTAAGACCATGTTCTTCATCATCATAGCAATCACTTCTTTACATGCCTGCATTCGATATGCCTCCAGATCAGCATCTGCCCGCGTCAGGGTGGCAACCTCCAAGCTGCAGAAAGGTAATAGGGACTGTTTGAAATCGCAGATGGTAGGAAATTTCTATCAGAAAACAAGGATATCTGGATCTATTCAATACTGGGTAACCAAATGGCAGTCAGAGAAGTAAAGGAACATCACAGCATATGAGTTTACTAATCATGATAGGAATCATTAAAAAACAGGGTGAGCCGACTTCTACTATGGCAACTTTAATGAAATACATCCATTCTTGCATTTCCATTTTAGATAGAAAGAGGAAAAGCTTTTCTTTAAAACTCAAAACATTCCCTCAGCTTAAAAGCAAACAAAAACCTCCCACCAAAAAAAAAATAAAAAAAAACCCAACCCAAAAAACCCCCCCATCTCTGTTGGGAAGCAGAGGAAGTGAGTGCCTGAATAGACTAAATTTCACTGACTTTGTAAAATAGTTCTAAACTCACTGACCCATCTACACTGGCACATCCCTGCTTTCTGTTCCATGTTGTTGGTGGTGTATTCCCTTCTCTGCAGGGAAGAGGGGAGAATGTTTTGATTATGTGCCGATATAAATAAATTAAAATAGCTGATATCTCTCTCATGAACATTAATAGAGTTTTAGAAAGGAGATTAAAACCAGAGGGAAATACAAGGGTTTTTTTACAAAATGCAATAAATGTTGTGTTGCATATGAATACATTCTCATTTATCTTAATTAAATTTGAATTATAATTATTCTCATTTCATATACTATGTAGCTACTGTAAATTCTATAACTTTGCCTATTCTGCACTCAATTCAGGATTGGAGAATTAGGTGGGGTTTGCCCCTGCACACCAATTTACATGAACACACAGCACTGTATGCTTCTGTGTCTGGACTAAGTACACAAGAATTTCTTTGTGACCTACAAAATACACTTTTTAAGAGCTTAAATCAATTTTCAGTTTTGATTGGCTTGATTTGTTCCACAGTCAAATCTTAGAATAAATTTCAAATCCATAGCAAAGACCTTGGCAAGATTTCCACGACAGTAGAACGATACTACATTCGGAACAGTCTATGTCATGCAAATCTATAAACACTTCACCTTTTTGTCAAACAAACTTTCCTCTCCTTATATAAGCAAATAAAGTTCAACTAAAAGGAAATCAGTCATATATTATTATCACTGCTCCTCTGTTAAACACACAAGATGTGTTTTCCCCATTTAGAAATCAATGGCATTGAATTAAGTTGTTTTCTTACGACTCAAATACTTGGAAGTATTTAGGAGATATTACCTTAAGCTGTGATTATCTATCACAAAGAGGCAGAGAGATTTTTCTGCTGCAGTCCCTCAGAACCCCAGAAACACACTGACGATGGCCATACTCATCTTGGTGACCTGCTGCAAGGCTGTTTGGTCACAGCTGCAAAACCTCCTCCATTCCCCCCCTCTTCCTCCCATACAGGAGCAGGAATCACTGCTGTATGGGGCCAGATCCCTGTGCCTGAAACATTCTTCATGGTAATTTGAAGATCCCATAAGAGCCAGTATTTTCTATAATGTCCCCATGACAACACAACAATCCAACTTCTCTGTGCTGTGTACAGATGGACACTGCAGGAGAGCACCTGGGCATACACAGCCTTCTTGGGTGGTCAGCTACATCCACAGTCGTGTCCGCCAGGCTGCTGACCTGTTCCCTCTGCCTGGGGAGAGTCCTCGCTCCAGGACAGCAGGACAGACACAGAGGACAGGTGATGGCAGGTTTAAGGGAAAAGGATGCTGAAGCAACACAGCAAGCACTTCAACTGGGCAGCACAGCTGCTTATTTTCTATCTTAGTCTTTCTGTTTACAGAAGTCCTAGGACCTCTGCTGACACAGCCAGCTACTACTAAGCTGTTTACTTACGACAACTAACTTCAAAAAACCAAGTGTTTCAATTTTGTGCAAAAATACTTAAATAGAAAGAAGGGTCCAAAAAATGGGAGCTATGTTACGCTATAACATTTCCCTAATGACTGTTAGGCAGTGGTAGGAGGCTCCCCTTTGTAGAGTCACCAATTCATTATCAACCCGTAAAATCCAAGCCACCGGATTTATTTTTCTGTTTCAATTCCTGCTTCAAGTTCAGGGGCTCTGATTTAACTGAAGCACGTGTCTTTTGTGAGAAACATCTCATCTAGGTTTTCACACATCTCCTAATAGAGAACTAAAAAACTTAAAAATTAATTGTTCCAATTGATAATTCCTTTACGACCTAAAAATGGTCACCTTATCCTCAGCTTGAATTTTATTATTTTCAACTTCCAACCCTCTTTGTTTGCTGGAATAACAAGTTCCTTGGTCTTTATTTTTCTGTTCTTCATGTGTGCACTGATAGATGGTGGTCACAGCACCTACTAACTCTTTCTTACTGAGGTGTGAAAGACTGAAATGTTGCCTGGAAGGCAACACTTTACAGCTCCACCACATTGATACATAGCTCGTAACATAACATTTATTTCTTAACACAAATGCAGGATTTTTCAGCATGCTTTGAAAAAAGATTAAGCCATATCTCACCCACCTCCTTACTTGTTACTTTTCCAGTCTTCTTCAGTGGTGATCCAGAGAATGGAAACCAAAACCAAACATTATCACATTTCCTATCGTTATCTTTCCCTCAGTCTTCCCACAGCATTTCTTCCTATTTACTGCAAGTCATTACAGAGTAGGCCTGATTTCATTTTGAGCAAGATTCCTACTTGCCCACAAAGAGAACCACGATACCCAATTAACTCTACTCCTCAAGATCATGATGCCAATTGCAGGAGGAGCAACAGGCATAGTTCACCTGATGCTCATGTCTCAGCAAGTGAATGATGAAGCTGTTAAGATCTCAGGTGTACTTAATCTGCAATCCTCACCCTCCCTTTTCCTGACAGGACATCTGTGAAGAAGGCAATGAAGCAGAAGCAGCACGTGAACTGTTCCACCAATCTAAGGGTAATAGCACGGAGAAAAAGTAATTACAAGCCACAGCTCTCCCAGGTCACATCCTGGAAGGCAGCAGCCAAACCATTACCTTTTTTCAGTGGCAGCTGAAAAAAGGTTGTGTCTGTAAAAATTTGAAATCTACCTTCCACGTGATGTGCTCTGCTTCTGGTCTTGCCTCCTCTACACAGCAGCCAGCAGGAGTGAGACAAGCTCATCACATACACCAGAAACCTTGCTTCAAGCACTTACTCCAAAAGAGAGGGTGAGGGCAGCCTTAACAAGCTGCATTAATATAATCTTGGAGTCTTCGATGCCAACAGTCAGTACAAAACAGGAATCCTGTACATAAAATAAACTAAACGTTTTCAGACAGAAGTCCATGAGAATGGGAATGCTTACAATCATACAGATTAAATGTGCAATGTCTTGTGACATCTAGGAAAAAAAGAACAAACCTAACCTGATGCTCTGTGTCTCCTCAAACCAAGGTAGATTTAGTAAGTTGCTTTAAATACTCTGCTTGTTAAAGCAATTAGTTTAAAAGGTCTTGCATCTCTTCCTCAGCATATTTGACATAATAGAAACATGAAAACCAGTGATGTACAGGTAGCAGATGGCAACCTACTGATGAAAAAGATCAAAGCTTCTGTTGGACAAAGCACGCAGAGAAAGGCTGAGGACAGTACAGAAGGTAGGTGGTACAAAAGTGTGGGGGGAGGAAAGGTGAACAGACACGTAGAAAATGAAGCTGCAAACAGCAAGTGTAAAGATTTTTCACTCACTTGAAGAGGAGGAGGATTTAAAGATCTGTCAGAGAAGATCTGAGAGGGGAGAATCCCAGATGCCAAACACAAGAGAAGCAGAGAGAGTGCCTGAGCATCTGATGTCTTCCACAGACCTAATAAAAGAATACAGGAAAGCAGCTAGTGTCAGGAAAGAAACAACTACACCACACCACAAAAAAGGAAACCTCTTATTAACTACAAAATAATTGTGCCTTTAAGTCTTATTATTCAAATTAGAGGACCACAGAGGGAAGTTCTGAGCAGGAGAATATATTAGTGACTGAATGTAACCGTCCTAAAATGAACTAATGGCTGACACATTTATAAAATGAATCCAGAGTTCACAAAGGTAAGAAGCTATTGTGACACAACCTTCTGATGCCTAAAGGGGAGAGAAACATCCAGCAAACTCCCCTTTGGTGACATTTTCTCACCAAAACAGAAAAACCTGTCATTTTCAGAAGACTCATATCTCATCTTCAAATGGCAGCCAGTTAGCAGCATATGTATTACAACAGCATCCAGAGGAGACTGGAGCCCTGTGGTGGCAGTTTGTGCAAAAGCACTCCTTCGCAACACACTATTTTGCTGAAAAGCAATTTGTGTCTCCACTGTCCCAGGCGTCCCGCTGCAGCCATGACCCAGAGGACAGCACACAGCAGCTGCACCAACTCCTGCGGGAGAGGGGAACGCAGCCGGGGATGGACAGATGGCACCCATTGCTACTGCCTGAGCCAGAGTACCACGTCCCCTGCACCCACGGGCACAATGCCAATGGGTCGGCTGCACTGAAATCTAAGTGTTATGGTCCATGGTGCCTTGTCACGCTTCAGAGAAGTGAAGGTGGAGAGCGGGTCAGACAGGGAGAATCCTACAGGCGAGACGTGAAACAATACATGCCAGTGCTGGCTTCAGTAACAGTAAGTGAAGCAAGCCAATTCACGTGTAACGGACATCAAAGGTCTTCAGCTGCAGATGTAAATTGTTTCCTATATCATCCATTTATTGAGGGGTTAGTAATACAATATCAGTAAGTTGGGCTGGGTTTTCTTTCCTGTTTCGGTTTTGTTTGGGGTGTTTCTGTTGTTTTTAACTGCTGTGTCAATGCAGACCCTGTGTGCAGTGCCATAGCTTCTTCTCTTCAGTCTCTCCTACCTTTTTCCCCTCCTCTGCTTCCCACACTCTCCTCCTGGATCCAGTCACAACAGAGACTGCAAACACTTCAGGGCAGGGATTTATGCAGGCCACAGCACAACAAGGTGCAAACCCTTGCAGGAGACCAAAACGGTGCTGAAGTAGAAGCACAGGTAACGACATCAAGTCTGAACCGTCACCAACAGCTACCGACTGCTCAAATTTGTCAGCCCTCAAATTTGTCAGACTTGGGGTGCGTTGCCCTTCCCAGGTCTCTGCTGGGCACAACCCACCTATGTTAGAGAAGGTCTAAAGACGCTCTGTGCTACACCAGTAGCTCTACTGGCCTGCAGCCAGCTCTGAACTGGGGGAGTTCATCTATCAGCCCTGCGACAGCATTATACAGCCAAGCGTAAACTCAGCACATCTGAAATGTGAGCTTACAGGGAATACAGGACATCTCATCAGTAAGTAACATTGCTAAGAAAGGTTGTGATGATTATCTAAGGATGCCTTCACATGGATGAGTCACAGGTTAAGTTTAGCTTTCCAGAAAAAGCCAAGATGCTGACAATACCAGAAATAAGATTCCCATGATATATGGCCAGAAATTTTAAAAACCCACAAAATTGAAAAGGATGATAAATTGAGCTGAGACTAGTGGCTCTTCAGAAAAAAAAAAATGATTAATGAAAACCTGCCAAAAGTCTCAGCACTAAATTTGGCAGCAGTTTTGCTATCAAATTCCTTTAACTCTCCACAGCAATATAAAGAGAGTAAAGGTATTTCAATTCTTTAATTAATCTGTTTAAAAAACATTTGTAAAATCCTGCATTTAAGAGACCAAGAACCTCTGCTTTGATTGCAGAAAGTATGAAAACTGATAAATCAGTGATCTTCAGCAAACCAACTTAATAAATACAGGTAGGTAGCTACAATACCGCTGTTGCAGCTGAGCTCAGACAACAGTATTTCACTGAAAAACTACTATCAAAAAAGAGTGTAAAAAAGACTCCAGTCCTGCTTCCAGTGAAGTCATCGCGCATTTTAGCATTGATTTTAAAAGCACCAACTTCAGCCTGGATACTAACAAAAACATAAATAAATATTATGGCTGTATACATTGATGCCTGAGGAGCTCCCACTTTGTTGTGATCTACTCAGATTCTTCTGATCTACTCAGAGCATTCAGATGACAGAAACAGTAGCAGATACTAATCTTCTTTCAAAATAGTAAGGAATAAAGCATCACTAACAGCACTATGCTCAAAAGCAAATTGTTTCCTGGGTGAGATAAATTGTTCTGGGTAGACAGCAGAAATGACCCACATAATTCTGAACACGATTTCTTCATAGTTAGCCAACATCAAAGAAAAGTGCCATTTTTAGATGAAAGAAGAGATGTATTCATTACATTCAAATAACTTGTTTGCTTCAGTTCTCCTGTCTTACGGACTCCTATTGCCTATGACGCATTTGAGTTTTTCTGATGGAAAAAAATGTATAGTTTATACACTTGTCAAGTTCATAACAGCATTCGTAACACAGAACTACAAATGCAGGGTTTGGGGTTCATTCCATGTGTATTCATTGTATCTCACTGTTATATCCATGTGATTGTTATTTATTGTTGCATTGCTGCATTGTATATATTGCACAAAAACAGAGCAATGAATATGCCCTCCCTTCAAAACTTGTAAAATTTCGATTACACTTTTAAAAGTTATGAAATACAGAAATTTAGCACCTCTTTTTTTTTGTGCTAACAGTGTAACTATTTCTCACCATTTTCTATGTAAGAGTATTCAGGTCTAGCCGCTATGACAACGTGATCCTTTATTCTTACGTTCCATTTGAATTCAGAGTTAAAAAAACCTACATTTGTTCCCTAGCAAATTAAATTGAGATGTACAGCAAGAAATTTACATTTAGAAAGAAAAAGTGAACTTCTAATATGGTAGTAAATTGGTTTTGACTTTTCTGTCAAGGCTCTCTGGAGACAGTTTGATCATGTTCTCTAGTACATTTGGCCTCAATGCCCTCTATCATCAGAAAAAAAATCATCTGCAATACATACATATTACTTAGTGATTTCCCAAAATAATTGGCAGTATGTATTGTGTATCAGCAGGCAGGTTCGAGTTCAGGTAAAGCTTTGCCAAACTCAAGGAAGCATAGCTGTACAAAATTAAGATGAAAAAGAAAACTTGTAGTAGTGGAAAGCCATTTAAAGAAATTAAGTTGCCTTTAACATATCCATATCTTCTGAGACTACGAGCATGGTCAGACTTCATCACATTGGACACAAACCAAAACTGTTCAGCTCTCTTCATATTCTGTTCTAGACATACAGAAAAAGAGACCCACAACATTTTGGAACATGATCTCCTAAGTGCGCACATCAAATACTCAAATCATATAGCTTCTTCTCATTAGCGTTCATTTCCAATGGGCCAATATTCAGGAATATGCACAGTAAGGAACCTACTGAGAATAAAAGCCAAGCTATTTTGCTGCATAATGTACATCAAGGATATAACTTATTAAGACAAAACTCACAAAATGAGTAACTAAGAAGCTTCCTTATGAAATATTAAAAGTATGCTTTGTTCTCTAGCCAATCCTCCTGACATTGCAAACTGTCTACACTCCAAACATATCCCTGCCCATAAATATTGAACACATGCTCCTAATGTATTTGCTAAACAATTTGGCACTGTCACTTTGTAAGAGACATTAACTATTAACATAGTTTTATGCGGTAAAGAGGACAAAAAAATCCTGTGGCTCTTACTTTTCTGAGTAATTTTTTCATTTGTGTCTGGACAAAAGAACTAGAGTTATTCCAACCGTGTTTACTATCACAGTGCAATTTAAAAAGAATATATCAATTATGTTGGCAAGTTTATACATATGCCATGCAGAGAAAATGACACATAGCTGCACCAATACATGCAGAAGGAATTACCAAGCTGGCATACAAGCAAGATGATGTTGGTTGACTGAAAATACCTGAAGTATCAAAAGCTGTCTAACAAAAGCCCTCATACTTTTGCCTCCCCAAATAATAAAATTCAGGATTGTGATGCTAAAATTCATATTGGCATACATATGACATGAAAAAATTGTTCTCAAAATACAAGCCCAGTTCTTATCTTCAGTATACTGCCACTCCTGTAAGACAATAAAACCTCATTCCTCAGTTCCTTACAGAAACTATTCTATTGGGTGACACTAAATGTAATAAACCAAAATGCAGTATTGTTGAAAAACTGATTGTGACCACAATTAGTGAAATTACAACATTTAATTCAAGCACAGGATCCATTCATATTGACTGCAGTTACCATTAATAAGTTACAAATGCACAATCTTTCTTTTTCCCATTATGTTTTGCAAATTACTATCCTTAAAGCAGGTAATTCAGTAAAAAGGATTACTCCATTCTGGGTTTAGCCTGGATCGCCGTCATAGAAGCTCCTAAGGCAATGGTACAGTATTTTATCTTTGTCTTTGGAATCAGCTAAAAACCTGGATAATGCACAACAGTTTATGAAGTACAAGACTATAATGAAACCTTTAAGGTACATAGATCAGAAATTAAAGGACTGCTTTGGCCCAATTTGCAGAATGAATAATGATTCAACATTAAGAGATGAGGAAGCACCCTAAGTTAAACATCATATAAAAGTGTTAACAATGAGATTTAAAAAAGCAGTGTATTTCTGCTTTCTTCAGTAGCTGTAACAATATTGTATGTATCTAATACAGGCATTAAAGTAATGCTGTAGCCTTTTTTACCACCAAGTCTGCAAGACTGGGATTCATCTCACTCACCTCCAGACCCTACAGCTGAGCTAATCAGCCCAGGCTCCACGCTTCAGGGTCAGTGGGCGCAGCAGCCATATGACTAATTTTTTGGAAGTCTACTTTAGGATGAGAATAATCGTACCCTAGAAGTGCGCTTTTTCACCCCTGAGATCCTCACTCGGTCAGATAAACTGCACCACCAGTGAGAAAGTGAGAGGAACAGGTATGTAGTAATGGAATACACATATTCAATGAGTGCCAATAAAAAGAAAGAACAGAAAAATATATGGTAAGTGCATCTGTGTGTCACCTCCTAACAGTAAATTAATTGGAAGGTCCAGTTTAAAACTACAAGAAATAAAGAATTGGGATAATGGAAATAGGGGTTAGGAAGCACCCATTGCTAACAGGTAAAGGCTGATCTGAGCCCTTCACAGTTAACGTCCATCACCCTTTCAATCATCTTTCATAGCAGGAACCACTATAACTCTGGATGCCTTTGTGGTCCATCTATCATCCTCATCCCGGAGGACAGAAAAAGATAACTCAGAAGGTGAAGACAGTTAGCGACTGTTTGCTAACGGGCATCTATTTTATTCACTGCAATACTCTTACCTCCTTAGAGGTAGAGAAAATAGAAACTGTGAGGAAAGAAGCAGAAGCAAGAGAGATATTTGTGCTAACTGCACAAGAATATTAAAAAACCCTAGCCCTGGATACATACTGATGATAAATGTAATAAATGTAATGTAATAGCAGTGAATTCTTACTCTTCTAAAGCCTGAAGCATGTTGCCAGATTCTTCAAAGGACAGAATATCGATGATTTGATCATTCATAATTATATCTTCACTGAAGACATCACCTGAATTAAACTGAGAATGCTCCAGTTTGTGATTTTGACTGAGCTCATGCTGTATCTCCTAAAAAAAATAAAAGACAAACTAGCTTCAGATTACAAAAAAAAATTTACACTGAGTGCCTGATCTAATTTTATTGTAGGTAACTCTGGGTGAAAAGGTTCCTACTTATCAAATTGTGCACCTGGAAAGAGTATAAAGAGACTGTGTAATTCAGGTATGTATCTAAAATCAAACATACTTCTGTTCAGGCTGAAATTTCTGCATATAACTGATCCAGTATACAAATGAAGAAATTAGTGGAGAAGACAGAAGACTCTACATTGACTTCAGTAGGCTTGTGAAAGCCTTCTAGGAGGTTATATTCCACTACAAACTTTCTAGACCAATTATTTAAAAATTACCATAGTACACAAATTATGTATAGCAAGACTACAGTATTACAAGGTGAACAAAATTAAAAACTAATCCTATGAATGATGGGAGTGACTCAGTTCACAGTCCAGTGAGACTCCCTTGAGACCGAGAGCTATTAAAATTACTATACAAAAAACCAGTATAAATATCTGATGCTAGGACCAAACTGGCCCTTTTTTATGGTTTCACCATCACAACTTTTTCTGTAAAAAGAAACAAGGCACACCCTTTTCATTTAAAGGGATTATTTTTTCAGGCCTAAAAGAAGTAAAAATTGGTGATGGAGTAATTTTCAACCACAGAAAATAAAGCTGGAAGGGATTTGTGAGCATCCCTCTGGTCTGTCCAGAGGGATGGGAGATCTACCACCATCCGAGCAAAGGAGGGGATCACACCTCTGAGCACACCTCTCTCAGAGGACTGCTCCTACCACTGTAATATTCCAATTGAGGTCTTTTGCTCCCTCACGTTGAAGTTGTTCCACTCTATATAAATACTTAAAGAATTAATAGAAACAAGGGCTGGAACTTGGGCAAACCTGATGAATATTTATCAGAGATTGTATTTTCTCTCTCCGGCCCAGTATGTACTGAAACACTTTCTCCAGACTAGCATGGCTTGGTTAAAGAACACTGAAAATGCTCCATCCCCAAACGCAGCTGTTTTGCTTAATCGAACACTCAAGAGACTAAGGCACATCCAAGGAACTAAATTCAAATTCCTAGTCCTGATAATCAAAAATACACTTTGGATCCAAGTCTGCTGTGCTCAAGATGAGTGGGCTAGGACTTATAAACCACAGACATCCTGCCTCTCTCTCATTTTGGGTGACAAATCTGAAGCTAACATCCAGGTACTGACAGCAGTTCTTTTGATCAGATTATCATTCTTACACTCCTCTCTAAATTTGACTGTGCTGAAGATTACAGGTTGTAGAGATTACATTACCTGCAAATCCAATGCATCGCTTGGTGGCTTTTTATTTATCTTCAAAAACTCTTATAGACAATCTGTACTAGTTAGCAGGTCATATCATCAGATACGATCAATGAAAAAATGTAAATAAAGTACCATTACAGACAGTATGACTCACCTGGTTTTTACTACGGAAATTCCATTTTAATATTTGGGTTCGGTAAACAATGAAAAAAACAGCACACGTCAATACAAGGGAAACAAAAAAAGCAATGAAGAACCCTGAAGCATGGATGGCATGGCTGTATGAAATCTGAAATTAAAAGACCATATTATTAAAATTACATTTTATATATATATAAAGATCAGACTCCAAGATTATGACTGTAAGCAACACAGGAAATTATTTTTAAATGGCTTCACACAACTTTAGGGTTTCTCAGCATTAAGTTATAATTACTGCATTTGTATTAATATTTTCAAACAAGTGTCTATTTTCTACAGGTTTTCAAGTCAGCGTGGTTTGTTGTGTTCACCTAGTCCAAATTCCCGTGAAACTCCAAGCAACAGAACTCCCACAGATTGAATTTTAGGTGCTGTGTCTTTTGAGTGTCCTGCACTTAACAGCCTGTTTTCCACCGTTGCCAACCTGTCCTAAGTCTCACTGAAATTAATGGCATTTGATGATGCTCAGAGCCTCCAGAAAAATCAGTCTAATGTCGGCTACCTTTAATTAATGGCCATTTCTTCATTCGATAAAAGTCAGTAATCACCATAGGGAAAAAGCACCAATATGAGTTCAGAATAAGCATGTAGCTGACAGTTGACAAAACCACCCAGTTTGTGTGCACCCTTGCAGTTTCTGCACGAGCCAGAGTCAGAAAAGAATAGCAGGAGCACTGGAACCATTAGCCAGCTAACAACTTTGCAGGCCTTTCACTTTAGCTCTTAATTTAATCTTTAAATTGAATTGCATTAAAAATTAATTTTTACTTCATGCTCCGTGTAGCAAAAGTTAATTCAGTGTTTGTTTAGTTCTTTGAGATTTCTGGATGAAAAACATAGCACAGCTATTCGTATAATGTTTCACCACAAACTAATCACTCTGCTGGGGCTAGAAAGTGTAAATAATTAACATGCTGCTTGCAAGCTGGGCTTGGTCATCTCTTGGAGCAGAAACCTGAGAGCATTCCATGGAACCAATGGTAATTCTGCACAGGAAGCAGAATAATCAAACGTGGTCCACAATTTGAAAAGGCTTTATTCCAATTAAACAGCAGAATGTTATCCTTTTACTGTCTAGTTTTTCTCTCTCTAATATGTCTTTGTACACCAAAAGTCTGTCATATCTCTAACTGAAAGGAACTGCTTCAGGTCAGACTTTGCTCTTTCACAGGCTCAGCTCCTCAAAGATGCTGGAGGTGCTCAGCATTGATTTCAACATGACTTCAGTTGAATTAGGCAACGGTGTCAGTATCAAGGAGACCACAAAGACGTTAATACAGGCTACTATTTGGCACTTGCAGTTCCAAGATGAAGATCCAAGGGTGATACTGTACATACAGAATCAACAATTGCTCTAACTGACGAGGTATGTTTGGTTTGGTTTTTTTATAGAATAATGGAAGCATTGAAAGGTTTGGGTTGGAAGGGACCTTAAAGTTCATTCAGTTCCACCCCCCCTGCCATGGGCAGGGACATCTTCCACTAGACCAGGTTGCTCAAAGCCCCATCCAACCTGGCCTTGAACACTTCCTGTAAGCCCCCTCTAAGTACTGAAAGTCTGCAATCAGGTCTCCCCAGAGCCTTCTCTTCTCCAGGCTGAACAACCCCAACTCTTTCAGCCTGTCCTCACACAGGAAGTGCCTCCAACCCTCGGATCATCCTCGTGGCCCTCCTCTGGACCTGCTCAAGCAGGTCCATGACCTTCTTATGCTGGGGGCCTCAGAGCTGAACACAGTACTCCAGGTGAGGTCTCATCAGGGTGGAGTAGAGGGGCAGAATCCCCTCCCTCAACCAGTTTTTTTAATGTGCTTAGTCTAAAATAATGAAACCCTTGAAGCAGTTTGAGGTTCACTCAAACGTTTTGGGACTGTTTACCCAAGCAAGCCAGCTATGTGCTGAATTCCTTCTAATACCTTTAAACATCTTTCAATTTTAAATGGAAACAAGAAAGAAAAGAAAAAGAGGAGCAACACATTAATTTCCCAGTTCCACATATTGTCTGAATGTTTTCTCTTGATGTAGCTTCCTTACTACTCTGGCCAATTGCTTCTGTTACACTCCCTGGTACCATGGCCGACTGCTGAGGAGACCCAGCCCACCTAGATCAGCATCAGCACCAGCTCTCTCCTCCTCTGACTCTGCGCTGCCCCCCAGTTCCTTGCCATGAGCTCAGTTAAAGCTGCATCACTTTGCATCAAAATATATTCATAGAATCATAGAATGTTTTGGGCTGGAAGGGACCCCTAGAGGTCATCTAGTCCAACCCCCCTGCAGTGAGCAGGGACACCTTTTACCAGATCAGGTTGCTCAGAGCCCCGTCCAACCTGGCCTTGAATGCTTCCAGGGATGGGGCCTCCACTACCTCTCTGGGCAACC